AAAGCGCTTGAGTTCTGTAGCATTTACTTGCCGTCGAAGGCTACAGAATGGCTTCAATCAACCCTCCAAGCTGTAGAGATCTAGTTCTTTGCCAGCTCACTATTAAAGCTGGCTCTCTGTACACGACACAGGCACCCTCGGAGCTTTCACCTCAAGGTCTTTACCTCCAGTGATGGAAATATGAACTAATGACCCGACATGGGATATTTTGAAGTGGTTTCCAAGGTATTGACTAGGTCGATAAGGTTCGGCCAGCTGCATGATCCTGCGGTCCGTACATTTGACAAAAGCCTGGGCTGCTGCGGAAAGCTTTATTATCGCGTGATGAGCTTTGGATCCATATGCAAGACTATCTCCCACAGGATCGAAAGGCCAAAGTCCGAACTCTGTAGATCCCAGAAGCGCAACGAAGCGCGGTAGTTGTTGTCCAGTCTCCCCATGCGATAAATGTTCGTTTCGAAGGTTGGGGTTTATATTTCGTCACCCAGCCAAGGGGTTCGCGTGGATGGTAATTGTCTCTATCTTGATCGCCTCCTTTGGCCTGTTCTTCTTGTCGACTTCAACAGCCTCCATCTTGCTCAGAGTCCTGAGTCCATCATCGCCAATGACACGCCCAAAAATAGTGTTCTTCCCATCTAAATGAGGAGCCTTGTCGAAGCAGATGAAGAATTGACTTCCATTGGTCGCGGGTCCTTTATTCGCCATGCTAACAATCCCTCTCGCATTATGTCGCAGCGACGGTCGAATCTCGTCCTCAAAGGGCTCTTCCCATATCGAAGCGCCGCCTTTTGGCTGGGAAGGTGGGGCGCCCGTCTGGATCATGAAGGTTGGTATTAAGCGATGGAATGCAGAGCCATTGTAATAGCCGGAGGCACAGAGCGCAATGAAGTTCTGCATGAGACGTTAGATTGATCGAGGGCGTCGCATTGTTTTGGGGCGGGGGGAGTGATGCAAAATTAGAAGGTTACATTTCACCTACCTCTGCAGTTTTGGGGACGCTCTCGCAGAAGAGCTCGATCTTGATGTCACCGCAGTTTGTGTGCAGAGTGACGGACATGATGGAGAGAGCTGGTCGGCAGCATCTGCTGCATGGCTCGAAGGACGTGAGGCGAGGCAGCGAGGTAGGAGTCGAGGTGAGGTGAGAATCGAGGCGTGGGCGTAGGGCTGAGACGAGATCTCCTATGAAGACGCCCCGACCTCATATATTTTCCGAAGAGGAAGACGACGCGGGGTCAGCGAGACGACTGTATGGCTGTACTCGTATCGAGGGTAGCTAGGCGCGGTGGGGATGGGATGGGATGGGATGGGATGGGATGGGGTGAGAGGGGAGAGGGATGGGAGATGAGAGGTGGGAGATGGGATGGGAGATGGGGATGGAGATGGGATGGGATGGGAGATGGACGGCCACGGCTCTCCGTGAAGCGACCGCAAGGTAACCCGAGCCCTTGCTTATAAGACTTACAATACCTAGTACACCACCACCTCAATACAATCCTCATCATTTACAACGCAACGGCTATTACTCTGCCCTCCCAACTTTGCCCACTCCACCTTCCGACAACCACTGCACCCATCCTCCCACAGCTGCCACCTACCAGCTACCCTTGTCAAGCCGTCCAAACAACCTTCATCCTCCCCGCGCACCCTTCGTCAAGGGTCATCATCCAAGCTTCCATCATCACTGACTTCAAAGTTCAAAATCGACACCTGAGCGGCAGCCTTGCCTATTGGTGACAACAATCTCGATCCGCCACCTACCTTGCTAGCTTGTTAGCAGCGCAGCGTCGACCGGCCAGACCACCTATCTACATATGGTATCTCAATTCACCTCTCTCGAGTCCGTCTGTCGACAACACCATCATCTGGGCGTAGACCGCCCGGTTGCGCCAGCGTGAGCCCGAGACAAGATGGCAGCTTTCGTCAGAGTCTCGGGGCCGCCAAATAGCAATTTCCTCGTGGGCTATCCAGGAATTTCCGCGACCCTCGTAAGCTATCCCCCCCCCCCCCTGGCGCTGCGAGTGCGATCTGGTTACTGATGTTGTTGTGATGTAGCCAAGAGTAGAGGGGAAGGTTGAGATTAGGCCTCTGACGGGTATCTCTGCGCCAGTCGCGATATCCTTGGTGCGAATATGTTTACAGAGACGAGAAACGATACATCCGTCGGCCGAGTCCCTCGCGAAGAAGCACCTTGGAACCCCGCGCAGAGAACTGACAGATGTGGTGGGAAAGGAGTTGCTTTTATTTCGGTGTCCGGCCGGGAGGGAATCAGAGAGCGTTGTATTGATGGATCTCCCGTTCGTCTTGTTCATACCATTTGGCAGAGGAGGCGAAGAGAGCAATCGGCGAATTCCACCCGCGTCATTACAACTACCGAGTAGGACGGCAGAGACATATTATGAGCTTGTTGTGACGGTCCAACAAGGGCAAGAGCAGAAGAAGTTCGCGTTTCCCGTGCCCATACAGAGATACGATAGATTGTCGACATTCGGAATGTACAACAGACCGGAATCCGCAGAGGCAACAGCAGATCATTTAGTTACTTTGGCCACCTCGTTACCTCGTTGGTCTTACGGACCCCTGGACCCTGTCAGCGTCTACATTAAACTATCACCGAATCCGGATTGGCCGAACAAGGCGAAGAAGGTCATGATACAGAAGATTACCATTGGAATCGAAGAGGAAATCACATACAATCCAGAAGGTGATGAGCCTACGAAGAAGATCAACCGGATAGCCAAGCATACTCAGAATATTGGAGTCAAACTGCCTGAAGCTGGATATTTTACAAATCTGGGTCTAGTGTTCCCCTCGAAAGAATTGCGAGATTCCGAGGGCATCATTCGACGCGGTAAGGCGGCTTTCCCTATGTGCTCCGTCAATTCCTACACTACAATTGGTACTCTGTACAAAATTGAGTTCTTCCTAATAATTAAGGTACTTTCATTTCCCCTCATCGTCGGATTAAGCTAATCATAATAGGCGCATATGTCTTCCGCAAGAGACATCGTTTTGAGACAACCAATTGTGGTCTGCCCACTTGATCAGCAAGACTGCAAGGAAGAGATGGATGCCATTGAGCAAGCAGCCAAGGATGCGTCACTGGTTGATCCTCATAATCCTATGTTGCCAGCATGTACCATTATTCGCGCCAACGACAAAGATGCGCTGAAGGCTCTTGGCTGGACAATGGTCGGCGGACAGAGAAAGATGGTCATCGAATGATGAAACATCTACAACACATTTAACCACAATGCTAAACGGCGAGCAAGATATACGCTCCTTAATATACTATGAGGACGAAGGCGATCGAGGGAATTACCTTGGATTTTCACAAGGCAATCATCGAATTGAACGCTATTTGATGACTAATATACTGAGGTACTAGAAGCCCAAATATGACGAAACCTACGATACTGGACATAGGAGATCCGCTCGAGCAAGCACGCCAATCAAGGCTGCCGTCGAATTTTTGGAACGCAGTACAGAAAGAGGGCTTGGACAAGAGGCTAACTGATTCTGGCGTTCTGGATTGGCAATCTAAACTTTTTATAAGCGCGAAATCTGAATTTTTCACAGCACTTATTAATGCCTTGGATGACTCGATATTTTCTGCATTTTCACGGCGTTTTTCGGCTTGGAAATCAACTTTTGATCTAGGCGGCGGGCTCTACATCTCCCAGGGTGGATAAATTTTTAGTTTCATGTTTATATGAAGACATCTTGGTGTAAGGTGTCATATGGGGTTGGATGGGAAGGATGGAATGGATGGAAGGGAGGAGAGAGATGAGAATTAGTAGGGATAGTCATATGGGGTTGGATGGGAAGGATGGAATGAATGGAAGGGAGAGGAGAGATGAGAATTAGTAGGGATAGTATGGTGGGTGGAACCCAGGGGCTGGGGAGTCGAGATATCATGAATGGAATGGATCATGAAAGATCCTCGATTTCTCGTTTCACTTGTGATGAGGCTTGTCTCCATTGCCCTGCTTCAACTTCTTTCGTATTTCTCCTTGCCAATTCCCTTTTCCCACTCCAGTCTACTTTTCGATTCCCAGATTATTCACAGCGACTTTCTTCTCGGTATCATGCGACGATTCGATCATTAAACATTCACAGAACAACGCCTTTCCCATCAGCCTCACTTGCTCGTGCTCAGGACCCGCCGTGGGAACTGCTCGTGAGTGGCGACTTGTTCGCTCGTCGTCCGTACTGCTGCGCAGAAAGAGCTGGACGTGGGGGCTGAAGGGCTGAGAACTTCTTTCGCGGGTCCATCAACTCAATCCAACGACTCGGAGCTAGCATTTGCAGTGGAGCTAGTAAGGCACTTCTATGCAGCTGGAAGAAAATCAGAAGTCGACGGGGCCTTGCTTGGTAGGGTCCGGCATCGAAGAGATCGGGCGGGCTTTGTGGTTGCAGCTGCTCACCCAACCGCCTCCCTGCTCTTATGCTGGGAGTGAAAAGGGGGTCGAACTGCGCGGATGGCGCTTACGTACCCGTTGATGGAATAAGTTGGTGGGGTTGTCGAGGGGGGGCAAGGCGAGCGGGACAGGAATGCAAAGGGCCCTAGCAATAGGAGAGTGAGACGAGATCTCGTGGGATCTCACAAGGGACTTTGGTTACAGTGATCTGTACAAAGGACAAGAGAAGCCTCCTAGTCTACGTGTCGGGCAGTAAGTCGAATAGTGGAGTGCTGTTCTCCTTGACCTCCTACTAGAGGAGACTCTCCTAACTCAAGGGCTCCCATGCATTGGGAAACGCTCCAGTTACGGGTTAATTACTGAATTCATCTACCTTCCAACGTCTTTCAGAAGAAAAGCTACTATGATAGGTAAATTGTTCCCGTCGATAAGAGACTAATAGCGCATCCAACGACTCCTTGTCTTGGCTTACTCGAATACCCGATAGCCTGCATTTTTCGGGTAAAAAAAGGGCAAAAGGGTCCGTGGATTTGCTCAAGTAAAAATAACAAGAAAAATAAAACGACATGTAAAAGCGGATTTTGAGGACCGTGGGATTCGAACCCACGCGGTTTCCCACTGCGGAAATGAAGTCGTTTTGATAAATCAAATTTACCTAAACACAGCGCCTTAACCACTCGGCCAGATCCCCGAACGCCATTGGTTAACGAGTTTGTTTGGTTTCCAGGCTTATGAAGGAGGTCGGGAAAGAGAGGTCACGCCTTGGTGGCCCTGGTGTGGGGTTCTGACTTTCTGGGTTTCAAGTTGCCGGAATTCACTCTCGATGTAGATGAACGTTATAATTATTTCATGTTATAAGTTGCATATTTGAGGTTAGGACATGAGCCCAAAGCGAGATTTCTAGTGCCGGTGTTTTTCCAAGTCATCCAGCAAATTCTCTAGCTTCGAGACGCTATTGACTCTTGCTTGATATGTCAATTACATTTTGTTTTGACATCTAGGCAATTATCAAGTTCGAGATCTAGTTGACATGGTATCAATTTGTCATCTTCATGATTCCAATTGCTTAGATGCAAGGTTGCTGGGTCCTCGCGGTGGGCGGTGAGTTCGGCTGCCGCCCTTTTCCCCTTTCTCTACTCGTAAATGATGGGCCTGGCCTGTTGCGCAAGGCTGGGCCGACTCAAAAAATAATTGCCAGGTGGCAGCAACATTTATCAACACCCACAAGATGGCAGACATCGATGAAGATTTACCAGTGACTTCACTGCACGCGCAATCTGTCAATGACGAAGACGACGATCCCGCAGATGATACCCCAGACTACCGGCTGCTCGCATCTCTGAGCTCCAAAAGTTCATTCCCCAAACGAGGCGAGAAAGACTTCGAGCCACACGGTACCAAACATCAAGATGGTATTCTCGAGACGAGCAGGCAAGCAATGCACGATGCGCTAAGCCATACGAGATTTCACATTCCCAAGAATTACACAAGAGGGTTCTACTATGGGCAGAAGAGCATGGGAAGAGACGATGTTATTCCAGCCGAAGCGAGAAAAGGGTTGGAGGATGATCGTGTTGTTCTTCTTGAAACCTCAAAAGGACCACATTGGAAGAGTATGGGGAAAACAAACCTCGGCCTAAAGCAAGCAAGTCTGTGGCTTCTACCAGAAGAGGCGCTATACTTAGTAGAGAGAGGCAATCTTGATTTATGGTGGCCATCACGATCGTCTTTCAAAGGAGGTTTCAAGACAGAGGACAAAGAAGCTGCACCAGAGTCAGAGCATGAGGACGACGAGGATGATGATGAAGGTGTTCCTATGAGTGTGCAAGCCGCATTTGCGCTTCTGATTGGCGATGATGGCGAACAGGGCAGAGTCAGCTTAGAGAGATATACGGTGTACACCAATCTGAAGAGAAATGGGTATGTCGTTTTAAGAGCACCAACTTGGGATCCAGCCAACTCTGGGCAAAGCCAAACCCTTCAACCAATTACCAAATCGAATGCAGAGTTTCCAAACATATTTTCTTGGCTGCTCGGTAGACTCTTTCCTAAATCCGCTATCGAACCCCCACCACCTTTTGGCCCATTGGTGAGGCCGGGCATGTACAGGTCTTACGACGCTATCTATCGACACGTCGCTATCATCCCGAGATACAAACCATCACCAAAAGACTGGTCACCGCCACCAGAAGATCCATACCGTGTTGTCTATCGGCTCTGGACACCTGACAATGCATCCACATTTGTCAAAACCAACCCAGGAGAGCCAGACTTTCGAGTCGCCATTACCGACGCACGCTCTACATCAATCCCATCGCTGACGCAAATGACAGCCTTGTTAGAAAGCACACCATGGGATCCGCCGTCACCAAAGTTGATGGGACCGTCGAAGCTTTATCAGCGTTTGAGACACGGCGTGCGGAGTGTGGTGTTAGCGGTTGTTGACCAAGGCGTCATAAGCTATTTGCGGCTTGGCGAAACCGCGTTTGGAGAAGAAGATTTGGTGCAAAGGTTCAACAGAGGCCAATCTGGAGGCCAATCTGGAGGCAATAAGCGATCTGGTGGCGCAGGACGAGGGCGCGGGGGGCGTGGGAGAGGAAGAGGTGGTGGAAGAGGCCGCGGAGGATGAATATCTGTTTAGAAGTGAAACCGTACGCCAACAATTGTTAAATAGTTCCGTAGACCGCTTTGCGGAGTTGGTGTACAGCAAGCAAGTATTTATGTCGTTGTGGATGAATTAACATTTTCTGTCGGGATGTGCATGAGAGATGGCAAAGCGAGAGCGCGAGAGGGAAAGTCAGATGGCTCTCAACAGGGAGAGCGGAGAGAGCGGAGAGCAAGCCCCTAGAGCAAGAAAAGCGAAAAGCGAAAAGCGAACAGCGAACAGCATCCAGCTTCAGCTGTCTTTGGAGTCCGGCTCAGGAAGCCTTGAAAGGGCCAAATCCGAGACAAAACGGCTCTCTGCAGCTGGAGGAGGTACGTTGTAGGTTGGATTGCCTTGGGGGTAGGGTCATAACCAAAAGGACGCACTGTATGATATATTTAATTTAATTGCGGTGCCTTTTTGCAAATAGGCAGTTGGTTCTGCCGCTTCTCTGCCTGCGAATCTGCTGCACTGGGCTGTTGTGACGCTGCCGTTTCTGCAAGGTGCAAAGCCGCCTACCGCACTGGCACTTGAAGCCATGCTTTACTCCCTTCCGTACGGACGAGAGAGGAGGGAGCATGGAAGCGTGGAAGCGTGGGAGCGTGGAATGGAGGAAAGAAGGAAAGGGGGGAAGGGAGAAAGGGGGAAGGGAGAAAGGGGGAAGGAAGGGAGAAAGGGGGGAAGGGAATTGGGGAAACACCATCAAATCTTGGATAAGAAGGGCCAGGAGTTATGAAGACGACCCCTTCGCATTGTTGAGTAAAGCTCACGAGTAAGGTAGCGGCAAGCTGGTAAGACCCAGCCATCTTGTCCCGGACGCCGTAAAGCCATAAGGGCGACAAGGCATTGCCAATGTCTATGCCAATAAGCGGCCGGTAAAGTAGTCGGCTGCACGTAGGTATCCTCGGTGGACAGTTGGGCAAGCTGTTGTTGGTGTTGTGTTGTACCGGGATTCTTCTGAATTACTACGTATACACAGTCATTACCTTGGACCTTGGGTCTGACCTTGGATCGGACCTTGGATCGGTCTTTGGGTCTGTCTTTGGATCTGAGCTTAGATCGGACCTTGGATCTTGGATGGCCATGGAGGCTACACCTACTATACAGACCACTTGTCACCTCATCACTCTAAAGTTCAATATCGGACCCGTGAATCAACTGCTTCTTAAGGCGAGTAGTCTTAGCGAGGGCGCTAGTGACGTTCTGGCCAATCATCTCGTGGATAACACGCTAGCTTAACTGCCCGCTCTCTGTCTCTCATCGCTCGCTCGCTCCTCTTCCTTCTTCTTCATCTCATCTTCTTCAATTCATCTTCTTCTTCACAACTCAACCACGTATCTCTTGTAATCTCCTTGCCACCACGCGCGGATTTCCAAGCGCGATCCAGCTATACAAACCGAGAGGTCGTTGACTCGTCTCGATCCTCAACCTTTTGAGGGCTCCAGTCAACCTCCCGTCATCATCAAACGTGATCCGTCAGCCTTTTCCCTTTGTCGCCGATCTTCTGTGGTTATCACCTTCTAACACCACTTCACCTCTTCGCCTCTTCAACACAACAACACAACCTCAATTGATTGACTAGACGGCAAGTTCTCTTGTCGCAACAAATCTCAAACTGGAGGGACACGCTTCACCGTCGAGTCTTCCTGGAGACCTCAACGCGCTGGCCTCGCCAACTCCATCCACTCCTAATACTCTCCCACCAAGTATCGTCGACGCCGCTATGGACGTGGAAGCCGTCGTCGACCATGCCGCCACCCCAATAGGGACGGAACTACCACCTTCGTCTTCGGGCTCATTGACAAGCAGATCGACAGAGTCTATTGATATTGATATTGATATTGATATTGATGGTTTTGAGCAAGACACTCCTGCATACCCCCAAAGCCCGTAAGTACTATCATGATCCTTGCTACCTTACTACCTTCAACCACTTCGCACCAGACCTATCACGATAGCTTCCACTCGCCATCACCTCATCGTCGCCTTCATAGATTCATCACGCGGTTTTCTCGGGCACGATCTCTATTTTTTTTATTTTTTTTTATTTTTTTCTCTTTCTTTACGTGTCCTCTCTTTGTTGTCAACCTCTTTGTTCTACCTCCCTTGCTGGTCTCTCGCACAGCTGCCTGCGCCTTGCATAGCGATGCGCGTCGAGCGCGCAATGTATAAGCCGCAAGCTGTTCTCCTCCCACTCTAGTCGCGTTTCATTACTTTACCTAAAACATGTCGCATCACTGGTCTTCAATTTCCCTCAAAATGCGACGTGTCGGTGTCAAGGTTTTTTTTTTCTGGTCGGCATTGCATTGCCTTGACACGTGTCTGAGCATTACGTTTGATTTTTGGTTACTAAGCTATAGTTGAAACGACAAGCACTTGCTAAGCCAATATTACAGGATCTCTGGCTCGATTAGGAACAGTCCGAGTCTGGAAGAACCCGAGAAGCCTATTCTGATCGACATGGCTACACCCGAGCTGGCTCACTCGTCGGCGATGCTTCTCAATCCTGAGGAAGAATGTGAAGAAGATATCATCACTCCCCACAAGCGCAAGAGACAGGCCATTAACTACAATTTGGACGGTCCGACAAGCTATGAGCAAGCTCACGGCAGTCCTATGGACAGTCCTATGAATTATGAGCCTGCAGCCAAGCGACCAAGAGCCCTCAAGGGCCCAACCGTTCGTGGAGTCATTATCGGGGTGTGGCGTGACTCGAATGAGGAGGATGATCAAGATAAGCATGTAATTTACGGGTTCATCGACATCCACGATCGACTTCGGACCAGAATATATGGCATGAATCGACGTGGCGAGGAGCTCATCGGAAACATCCCTACCGGTGCTGGTGGCTGTTGGGTCACGTTTCCGAGAATCATCTTCGATCCGCACCTTCAAGGCTTGGGGAATGCTGAGGTGAAGGAGTACGTTAAGCTTCGCACTGATCATGTAGCTGAGGCTACATTTGAGGAGCAGCAGGAAGCAGAGAGGAATGCTGTCTCGAAGGCAAAGCAAACAGTAGCAGATGAGGTAACTTCACCGACTGTCAA